TCTCAGCAAAAACGTAAACTGTTAAAACGGTCATGGGGGTTTGCATAGTGGTTCTTTCAGTGAGGGCCTGTGGATGGTAAACATTTTCAGTCATTTTTTAATGATAGTTTATCTCACTCAAAAGTCTAGATTCAGGGGTTGGTGTGTAACTGTGGTAGAGCAATTGCTTAGCATGTTCAAGTCCTTGGGTTGATCCCTAGTACCACCAAAACAAAAAAAGATTCAGTTCATTTTCAGATTTTTGAAGGTAATACTATATCATCTTTGGTATTTTAGCATTGCTGATGATAAATCTAATGTATGTATCTTTTGACTAATGTTATTGTATTTTTTTGTGGCTTTTAGAGTCACCCTACTTACCCTCACTCCCTATGCCTTGGCAAATACTAGTCTATTTTTTGTCTCTATAGATTTGCGTATTTTCACATTTTAGCCTTTTGTATCTGGCTGATTTAACTAAGCATGATGTTTTTAAGGTTCACCTGTGTTGTAGCACAAACTTAACTTTTTTATGGTTGAAATGATATTCTGTTAAACCTTTCATCATTTGATGGGTATTTGAATTGTTTCCATTTTTGAATATTATACATAATGCTGCTATGAAGATTCATGTCCTTTCTTTTGAATTTATCCAGGTGAAACCTCCTTAGGGTTTTCATTTCAAATACTATATATTTACTTTCCAACATTTCTAATAGGATTTTCCTCATTACTTTTCGGCTTATTATAATGTAGATATTTATTTTAAAGTTTTCTCAGATTATTCTATTAACTGTATTTCCTTACTTATAAGTATTACTGTTTGACATATGTAATAGTTTTATGGTATTGTGCTTCAATTTTTAGTTTAGAGCTAATTTTCAGTTTAATTTAGATATAATTTTTAGGGTAGAGCTAATTGTCCATATCTGTTCAACCTGACCTATCCAATGTTGACAGCTGTATGGTAGGAGGGTCTCGGATTGCTGAGCCCTTGTCTCTGTGTTGTATATCTTGGATTAAATTTTACTTGAGTGGCAAGATGCAAATTATAAGTTCTATATATCCTCCTCCAGTGATGCTGCTACCAGTATCCCTTGGTTCTAGCCATCACTTAAGTATGCAGGCAGCACATCTGTGGCTTTCATTCATTTGTTGGTGCTTTGCTTAGACCTCCTGTGTATTGTCTGTGTGACTTTTAAATGTATTGCAGTATTAACCCTATGTGTTTTTCTAGTACAGGTACTAAATACTGTGCTTCTTTAGGCATTTTTTACCATGACAGAGTTTCCCTCCATCCCTTTCTTCTCTCCCTCCCTCCTTCCCTCTCTTCCTTCCTTCCTCCTTTCTTTCTTTTTTATTTTTTTTATTTCTTTATTTTTTTGAGACAGGGTCTCACTGTGTAGTTCAGGCTGGTCCTGAACTCAGTATGTAGTCCAGGCTGGTCTTGAACTCACAGCAGTCCTCCAGCCTCAACCTCCTGAGTGCTGGAATTACAGGCATGCACCACCATGCTCGGTGTCATCCTTCCTTTCTTACCTCCCTCCCTCTTTTCCTTTCTCTCCTTCCTTCCTTCCTT